TCAATCATCCCACAGGAAAATAAGCCTGGCGTCGTATGGCCCAGCGTCGTCTGCCAACACGCGAAAAATTTTTACACCACCCATATGGAGCGCACCAGAGCCGTCCCGCCCGTCCGTATCTGTCCCGTGTGTCGAATCAGCCCACGGTCGTATGGCCACGAGTCGTAAGATGATAAATTTTGGAACAGAACTATGCTACCTGGAACCTAACCCCAGATGCTGTGAGCTAAAAGCTCATAATATTTAAAGCAAGATGATGTCACGGGCTGGTTACCGACGGATGGTTTAATCCGCGGCTGATTGGTGGACTGGTGGTCATCCGTAAATATGCTAGGCATTCCTTTCAAGGCTGATTGGTGCACAAATTTAGTGGTGCACTGCTGCGTACCCCGGCCTGCGCCCGTGTCAGTGCAACGTTAGGAGTTGTTGAGTAAGGGTATGCATGGTGGAGTCATTCCAGAGCAAGACAGCAGTGCGCGCTACAGTGGGCAAGAGAGAGAGCGACGCAGCTGCGCTCGGTATGAGTATGACAGCTGGGCGGATACTTAGCGCAATAGACTGCTTCAAAACAACTCGAGTTGTTCTGCCAGTTCTAACCGTTGAGGCAAGAGGTTCTTTGTGCCGACTGGCGACTGCCGAGCTCCCGTGACAGTAGCCGGCTTAGGCCAGCTGCTACGTCATCTTTCTGGAACTATCTTTCCCGAACTTTGAACATACCGTGCTGTCCCATTCCGAGGCATTGAGCCGGCGAATGGTACGACCAGCTAAAGTGAAATTTAACTCCTGAACACCTACAAATGCTCCCGGCAATGCCGGCATGATGGCATCTAACTGCAAAATTCATTACAAAGATTTTAAGATGCCTTCATGTGTGGTTACACTGGTTAGTGCCTCCGGGTGAGTGGTTAGTGTCCCCAGGTGAGTGGTTGGTGTCCCCAGGTAGTGGTTAGTGTCCCCAGGTAGTGGTTAGTGTCCCCAGGTGAGTGGCTAGTGTCNAAAAAAAAAATTCGCTACTGAAGGGTTTGATGTAGCTGCTCCGGCTCGCGTGTCCGTAATCCGCATTATGAGAGACACCACCAAAACGGCAACAGATGCTTGCATTTGTTGAGTGTAGTGAGTGACTTTATCTGTGAAAGAAGGTACGACGAATTCAGTACAGCCTTACATGTAATGAATTTTTTCTGGTGATGTGCTGTTTAAGGGCTTTTGGCCATTACTGTTGAAATTGTAGCTCTACGGCGCGGTTAAATTTATCCATGGCCACGGGTGAAGAAAACCATGGCCATTGGCTACAGGTGAAATTATCCATGGCCATGGGTAAAATTGTCCCTCGTTGACGGGTGATTTTTGCTCTTGTACGGGTGACTCCTGCCCATTATTCCAGTCTGGATGTCAGAGCAGTCAGACAGTTATAGCATTTTTTCTGTATCAGTAAGCTTACAGGACGGCTTGTAATTTCACACCATTTTAATTGGGTTAAGTGAATTTACTATAAAAAAAAACATGAAAAATATACCTGAAACAGAAAGGAATGTTTTAGTGACAACCATCATATGTTTTGGAGAAATAAATCATAGTTTAGGTCAATTACTTTTTATTCTATGATGCCTGGTGTACAATTCTATACGGTATACGACATTCTATGCACAATTTGGTGATGACCGACAATGCACTAATTTTTTGATAAGTGAAAATTTTTTGCTGAGCAGGGTAAATATAATCAATATTCTTTGTTTTTAATCAATTTTTTCTTAACTGGAGACTTTGCTAACTGAGGTTCTACTGTAAATGCGTTTTTATGGGTGTCCCGAATAGCCCCGGGGGGTGTCTCGAGTAGCCCTACCGTGCGGAAATGGCCGCCATTTTTTTTGGATTGAGGTATGTAAATTCCGCAAATAAAGTTTTCATGCTGACACTTGTCAGCATGACTTGCCACTTTTTTTTGACTTGCCACTTTTTTCGAAGGGAAATTTTTTAATACGGCAATATTTTTTTTAATACCGACTTTAGCAGAAGTTACTTTTCAAAATATCGTTTTTCACAATTTTTTCAGGAATTTTTCAAAGCTTGTAAATGTAGTATTTTTGAACTTCCTTTATACTGCATAGATAGGAAAACTTTTGATGTTTACGCCACTATAGTTAGTTTTGCAATATTCCAATTAGTTTTGCTACTAAAACAGTTTTACGCTGTGTCGGAGGACTGTCCCGAGTTACCCCGCCCATCCCGAGTAGCCCCGGTTGACGGTAGTTGGGACATTCACTTTGTGCATTCAGGGAGATTCTGTCATTGGTGGGCTACTGGGTACACAGATGTTATGAATTCATTCATGTTGCTTAATTAAGGTCAGAATTAAGCAACGCTTACATTCTTTCAAATTAGCTAAGACTGGCTTTTTACCAAAAAGAAGAATTGACTCAATTTATCACTTTCTGCCCACTTCATGCTACATTCCTATTGCTAGGACTAAAATACAAATAACCCTTCAATGACCTAAATCAGGGTTTTTGCCATTCCAAACTTGTGATTAGATAATGAGCTTACTTCACCCAGCGACAATAACATGGAAAAATTAGCGTACAATTTAAATGTAGCTCTGAAATGTTGCACTAATTTGTCTTCTAGTATTTGTACAATATTTAATAATTATTTCCGATTGTCTCATAGATATCCTTTGAGTATGGAAGCAAGTCAAAATTTGTTTCCATGATTATCAGATGATGACAAAAAAGTTACTTCATATGCAGACTGCTGCTCTGAAAAAGAAGATCTTTCCATTGTTCAGGTGGATGTTTTCAAAACTTGAGAAATTCCACACTTAATCTTTGCAAGAATTTTTTTACTGATTGATCATCACACAATAAACTTGATCATGGATAGCAAGTCCTTCAAGTCAAAACAATCTGCCAAGTCTCCTGATAATCTCAGACGTGAGTACTGTAGATATTACTATCATTCAATATCTCCTTGGATAGCATGTGAATTTTTGATGTATAAAGAGATTCTCGGAGAGCATCTGGAGACTGAGAAGAGTATGATGTCTAGAATAGTCTTGAATGGAGAAGGTGAAGAGTTTCCAGAGCTGAATGTTTGTACATTTGTGAAAATGCATCTACATAGAAGTTTTCTTTTTAATTGAATATAATTCAGTGTCTTAACAAGATATTCTAGTGAACACCTTGCTAACTGAATTTTTAAAAGTAAGGAAATGCAACATTTTTGATGATTCTTAATTTTGAATAAAGGAATGTGTATTAGAATAGGGAGGTCTGAAGGTCTGACCACAGGTCAACATGCTCCCAAATAAAATTTCCATAACTCATAATGAATTATTCTTCTACTTGTAAATGATAATCCATTCCTAAAAATTTAGTTTAAAACTTCTAATTGCAGAGAGATCAGGACAAACCTGATTACTCATTGGATGAGCATCTGAGTCGTAATAAGGTAGAAATAGGATGTTATCTTTTCAGCAGTTACCCATGCACTGAGTTTGTTCCTGAGTTCTGGTCATTTTCACAGATCTGACACTGACTGGCTACCTCACCAGTGAGCTCAAACGAGGCTATCTCTTGGAAAATGATGAGGAGAGATATGCCAAGCGACGAGAAAAGGTCTACACTTTCTTCATGATACCTCGAGAGGTGAGAGCTAATGCAAAATGAAGTAAAAAGAAACATCAACTGATAGGAGACTGAAGCCTTCTTGAAGATGGCTTGTGAGGCTAATTTCTTGCTAGTAGGAATGTCAGCAAGTTGAAAGTGACCAAGAAATTTGCAGATTATTTCATTCATATACAATTTATTCTACTTGTAACTGGAGCTTGATATATATTAATCATGTTTTCAGAGGTGTTTTCTATATTCTCTAATCTAATGACAATGTAAAGTGCTAAATAACTTACAATTTAAACAGTGTGTGTTCTTTCTTTCCAGACAGAGAAGTTTTTTGCTTATGGCTACTTTCAATGTGCTGACTCCTTCACATTTGTTATGACATTCCTGCCATTGCGCTTCCTGATGGCATGTTGGGCCCTTGTGACGGGAGGACTCGTCAAGGTCTTCAGGTGAAGGGGACTGAATTCTTGCATTTCCAATTAGTTTTATATTTGCATCAAGCCTAACACAACAATGGAGGCAAAAATAGCAAATTTTCACTTAGATTTAATACTATTTTAAAGTTATTTGACTTAATGTTGCATTTTTCTTAATGGATAGACTCAATCAGATCAGATAAATGCTGTTAGTTCGAGACTTGCTAACAACGGAGAAAGGATAAAAGCTATTCACAAACATCCCTGTGACATAAGTCAGGCTTATATCCAGTACACAGATGGTACTGATGGTATATCTATCACATCCTACTTTATTCTTGGTAAGTTCAATTCTGATCTGGGCTTTTTAGTGGTCATGTATTATGGATTTTAAAGTAAATTCATATAGTAGATATGAATTTCCTCAAATGGGTTAATGGTTCATTCACTGAACAATTATTAAACCCTAGTCCAGAAATATTTTTTCATTATTTCTGTGGCTTTGCTACTTAGGTTTTCTTCTCTAGCTTGCTTGGGTTGAAGACATGTCTACTGGACTGCCTCTGTGTAATTTTCGACCCTACAATTTGCAATCATATGACACTGTTTTTGCTGAAATTGGATACCACATATCCAAGCAGTTCTCATTGATGTCAATTGCAATGAAATGTTAATATATACAAAGATGCTTACATATCATTTGCTTGATAAAATGTTCTATATTAATTCAAATAATTTGTCAGTATAATAGTTAAATTGTCATTTATGTATCATTCACAGATACCTTTTTTACATATATCAGGAGTTTTTGTCGGGAATGTTGTCTATGCAGCAATAAATTTGTGTTGCAAGCTTGATAGATATGTTTTAGACGGTGTTGCATTGTTGACATTGTGTTGAATGTGTTCAGGTGGAACAGGCCTAGCGAGCATCTACTGCGGCCTGCAGAGGTGGTGGACCTGGTGAAAGGTGTGCTGCTGCTGTCCTGCTGCTACATCATGACTTTTATAGACACATCAATGCTGTATCATCTCATCAAGACACAGTCCACCATCAAACTATACATCTTCTTCAACATGCTCGACATTGCTGACAGGTATCTCTTCAAACTTATTGATCTGTACACGTGATGATATTGTTATATACTAAGATTTATCTAACAATGCCCAATCATAACTAGTTTTATAAGAAAACAAAAAATGAATGTTTGTTAAATGAGGCAACTTAGTATACTTCTCTGAAAGTCAAAGGATAACAACACAAAAGTGGTGGCTACATGTAGTTCAAACATTTTTTTGTTCACTCCAGTTGTCAGGAATCATATTATTTTTAAATGAATAAGCTAGACTGTATTAGGTGGGCATTTTGGTTCGTTACAAAACATAACCATCAAGTAAGTGGTAAAAATAGTCAACCCTTACAAAGCCCCAAACTTTTTAGCGCATTTTCTCATTTATGGAAAAAATGCACTATTGTGCTCGCCATGTCCGTCTGTCTGTCCGTCCGTCCGTCCGTAACCTCAAATTTTGTCGACGAGAAAATGCGCTCTGTCACTCACTGCAGTGAGTACTGAGTTATATTTTTTAACTTCTGATGTCATCTTCGTATCTATTTTCAGTGTACATTGGGCGGTGTATCCACCTTATAAATTTAATGAATTTCTGTTATCGCTTGATCCTACTTTAAACTCTAGGTTAAGAGTAGGAACTCTAATCCTACTATCTCCAAAATTACATTAAAATCACCTAATCCTGATTAAGATAAGCTAATTTCAGGGTTGTCTCTAATTCTTCTAACCCTGGTCATGGCAGGCTGATGTCAGCGTTTAGCCACTAATTCTAGCCCTGGTCATGGCAGGCTGATGTCAGCGTTTGGTCACTAATTCTCCTAACCCTGGTCATGGCAGGCTGATGTCAGCGTTTGGTCACTAATTCTAACCCTGGTCACGGCAGGCTGATGTCAGCCTTTGGTCACTAATTCTTCTAACCCTGGTCACGGCAGGCTGATGTCAGCGTTTGGTCACTAATTCTTCTAACCCTGGTCACGGCAGGCTGATGTCAGCGTTTGGCCACTAAATCACTAATTCTAGCCCTGGTCACGGCAGGCTGATGTCAGCGTTTGGTCACTAATTCTAACCCTGGTCACGGCAGGCTGATGTCAGCGTTTGGTCAGGACACTCTGGACGCCCTGTTCTGGACCGCCACGGAGCCGGGAGGACGCAGGCGGGAGCGGGTGGGCGGGATGGCGTTCCACCTCGCGGTGGCGCTCACTTCTGTCTTCATCCACGCGACCATCGTCCTGCTGCAGTCCCTGGCCCTCAACGTCGCCATCAACGCCGACAACAAAGGGCTGCTCACCATCCTCATCTCCAACAACTTCACGGAGCTCAAGGGATCTGTGCTCAAGAAAACTGACCGACTCAATCTACTACAGGTTCTAAGATAATGTAGTTTGATCCTTTATTATCCTTTTTAATATTTGTAGTTTGATCTTTTATCTTTTTCAATCTTTAATTTTAAAAAATTGCGATTATGACTGAGATATTCTAGATTAAGAATCACTTACTACTAATGGTCAGAAAAAATACCTAGCATTAACAAAAAATTTCTAACCGAGCTGCCTCAGACCCTTAAAAAATATTCAAAGAAGGCTAATGTGATTTATGCTTCTTAAATTTATACCAAAAATTATTGAAGGGCTAGGCTTTATTTTTCTCGATACTTGGAGTCGTGACACGTCGTGGTGTAGTGC